CCCTACTTAGGTAGGACACCTTTTAGGGAGATAAATACTTTTTGCGGTAGATCGCACCTGGGCGGCGTAAGGCAAGCCGAGTGAATCTGAGGTTGCAAGGGTGGGATACATTAGTAGTTTAGAACATTAGTTCTTTCTCTTATTTTTGTATTATGATTTCTTTATAAATCTTCCACTAATAAACCAAGGGTAAGGTCACTTAAGTTAAAAAAAAAAAAAAAAAATAAATTATGCAGTATACATAGCTTTCAATACAACTCTTCCTGCTAATCATCTAATTTATTACGGAGCAAAAATTTTTTAAATACAAAATAACCTTTAACTCTAGAAAACCTAGCAAAATAGTAGCTATTAAATAGAAGTGCAAGTTGTATAGCCTAGTAAACTTTATGTAAGAGGCAGAGAGATTTAGTAAATGATAATACTATTATTTTAGCTAAAAGTTTATATTATGGTGTTTTAAAAAGAAGAAAAAGATAAAACAAGGAGAAGAAATAATAAACAGTATCTTGTACTGGAGCAAATACTTTAACACTCTCTCACTTTATAACTTGTTTCTGCAAACAACTGCCTATATTCTTTGACTAACAATACTGATATAACAACTGTAGCTTTTTTTTTATTTTTTTGATAAAAAAGTGAGGATTTTGGCTCACCTCCAACAAAGAATTAATACTTGTACTATATTCTATTTTGAGCAAGTCATGTTTTGATTATTTCAAGTTGATTAATACATGTAAAGCCAATACAAATCTGCTTAGTAAATAGAATAATAGCTAATAAGAAGTTATACATGAGATTTATAATATATATGTTAGTACTATAAATAATTTTTAATTTTTATACTTTAGCACGAGCTATAATAGTGTATTCTATCTTGATTATCTTTTTTTCTGCTTTTTTTTTCTATTTTCATTTTCTTTTTGTGCTTTTTTTTTTTATATAGGCAGTAGTTATTCTCACTATTTGTTATTTTCTCTTTATTTTTCTTGATATTTGTTTTTTTGTTAGTCATACTAGTCAAATGAATTTATACCAGTATAATATTATGACCTATTGGCATAACGATATTTCTGATATGATACTAATTTTAAACAGATATTTGATACAAATAGAATACCTTTTAGTAACAAATCAGATTTAAAAAAATTGATAGAGCTATTGGCATACTGATAAAGCTATTAGCATACTGATATGACTATCATTTAAATATCAGTTTATTACAATATTTATATAATAGCTATATCAACATGTCAATAGCTTTATCAATTTTTTTAAATCTGATTTATTACTGAAAGATATCCTATTTGAGCCAAATATCTGTTTAAAATCAGACTTATATTAGAATATTAATATGCCAATAGATCACTAGTATAAATTCATTTGACAAGTATTAGTTAGAACTTAATTCCTTCAACTCAGGAAGCTAGAGAAGAAGATTAGAGAATTAAGTAATCTTGATAAGAATAGTATATAGTAACCTTCTGTTGATCAATTGAATATGATCTTACTTAGACAAGCTGTTCTTTTAAAAAAAAAATTAACTATTGTAGTTATATTATATCTAGGTATCATTATAGTAGCTAAGTGAATTCAAACTTGTATAGAAAGAATAATTATGTAGCTAGCTTTGCTAAGTTTATATTTTTTATTATAACATTATTATATATTTTCTTTCAATAAAGAAAAGACAAAATCATCTAAGTTCCAAAAAAAAATAAATTATACAATATATTGGTGTTACAACATTAGCTAGCTTAAATATCAAATATAATAATACTATTAGTTTAATTTAAAGATAAATTAATAATCAAAATATTTAAATAAATAATCTACAAGCAGGTTACAGATATAACAATTAGTATAGAACAAACAAGTGGTCTAACACTTAGGTGCAGACTACTAAATAAACAATGACTAAAGTTGTATATGTAACTAGTTGTATACTCATCATGTAATTACAAACCTTAGAAATTATCTATATGTAATTCCGTATACTTAAATTAATAAAAGTCCAATTGGCCAAGATGCAACCTTAACAACAACAAAAAAAAAAAAAAAAAAAAAAATTAGAATCATCAAAATTGGTTTTGTGTTAAGATATTCAAGTTTAAAGTTCAAGAAAAATTTTAATAAAAACAATTTATCTGATTTCTTATCGTTATTATGAACCATTCCGAAGTGTACCGACCCGCGCCACTATTTTATTCGAGATTCTTAGGATGAATGTCGATTCTGGGGTTCGGTTCGGTTTGCAGAATACAATAGAACCAAATATTTTGATCAATATTTGTGTAAGAAAACGCCGAATGATACTCGTGCACCTTATTTAGGAATATGGCACATCTTTTTTATGACTGAGATTAAAATATTATTCGTAGAATTGATTTTCTCGATATGTCATTGAAGACAAAGAGAAGTCTTCAAGCCAATGGTACTAATAAAAGATTTTCAAAGTTAACAAAAAGTCATTATTACATGCTTTCAAAAGTTGCTAAATACTTGGTTGAACATCAAATTGGTAAATTTTATAGAAACCAAAAAATTTTAAATACCTTAGTTTTAAAACTAATTTTATATTTGTTATTTTCTCGCCTAATAGAATTGCCGGTATGCCTTATAGCGGTTATTATTTTAGCATATATATTAGAAGTTCCCGGTTCGGAAAAATTTTTATTCCTACGTGAGAATCCCAAAACTGGTCATTATGAAAAGAGCATGGATGACACATTTTTTATTTTCTTTTGGGTTGTCACATTTACGCTATTACGAGCTGTTACAATGGAATATATACTGGTTCCAATAGCCAAAAAGGGGAGAATTAAGAAAATGACACAAAGAACAAGGTTTGCTGAGCAAGGGTGGTCTTTTTTGTATTATTCTATTTTCTGGACATTTGGCATGGTGAGTAATCAGCTTGAGAGAAACTTACAAGTTTCTTTCATACCTCTGCCATGACCAACAAGTATTTTAATGTTGATAAAAAAAAGTAGTCACCAGGAAACCATTGGAACATATAAAAATAAAGTGGTTATCAAGTGTGCAATATTCTCTTATCTGATCCAAAAGAATTGAAAAAAAATATCACAATTGGCTTATAATTTTCTCTTTTCTTTGATTCGATTAGTATATAATGTATCATTCACCATATTGGTTTGATACTACTTATTTCTGGAAAGGTTATCCTCACAAAGAATTGACATACCTTCTCAAGTCTTATTATCTGTTGCAACTTGCTTTTTGGCTTCAACAATTATTTGTCGTCAACATCGAGAAAAGGCGTAAAGATTTTGTAGAAATGACAACTCATCATGTTGTTACCATTTCGCTCATGTTTTTTTCTTATATCTTTAATTTCACTCGAATTGGTAACGCTGTTCTTTGTACAATGGATTTTGCTGATATCCTATTACCGGTAGGTATTCTTTATAATTTAAAAAAAATCGTAGACTTTCTCATCTGATTATTTATATTTTTCATTTAGCTTGCCAAGATGCTTAAATATCTTAGGTTCAATATGTTCTGTGATGTATTGTTTGGAATCTTTATGGTTTCATGGCTTGTGACTCGTCACTATATTTATGGTCATATTATATATAGTACGTGGACCGAACCACTGCTGTATATTGAATACAAATGGGTACCTGAAGAAGATTATTACTTTACAAAAAATGTGCAAAGATTTTTCTTGTTTCTCTTTTGCATTCTTCAAGCGATCATCATATTTTGGTTTTGTCTGATTTCTAATGTCGCGTATAAGGTTATTAAAGGTGATGGAGCGCATGATAGTCGAAGTAGTGATTCAGAACGGTTGGTATTTACCAAACTTAATTTATTTTTTATCATTTATTTTTACGAAAATTTTACAAAATAATTTTATTATTATAAATTTACAGGGAATGAGAATATTGAATCAATTGCACATATGATAACGACAGCATCATTAATCATCGATATTGATATTTAAGCAAAATCATGTTTATATAATTTCACCCTCATATTATTCATTTATGTATTAGTTTCCTGTTGTAAAATTAGTAATGGTAAAATTGACCTATGTGGTCTTTGAGCATTCGATACTTTAAAATTTTAATACTTTAATTAATGTTAACTTAGAACATGAAATAACATAAAAGCATTGACGTATGGGCGTCAATTGCGAGGTAGCTACCCTTTGACTTATAAAATGTTTGCAACTAATTAGTAATATTAGTGAATGCAATAAAAGAATATCTATGTAATTTAATGAAATTTAGAACTTATATTTCAAGTACTGTACAAGAATTGATGACTTTATTTATTTCTGATTTGATCGGCTGTGTAAATTATGTTTGCGTATCACGTTACCACGTTACACAGGTCAATAACGACGAGTTTTCTTTTTTTCTTTAGATTTTTACAACAGTAATCACAAACAGTTAAAATGGATACAAGTGTCACTTATTCAGAGCAAACATCGTCCTCCACAAAGTTTCCCTTGCAAACAAGGCAAGCAGCACGATTGATAGATGGTGTACATACAGAAACGTTGATTACGGGTTTTCAAGATAAGATTCTTGTGATAATTACACAGTACGGAAAAATTGGAAGTTTGGTAAGGGAGATATTATAATATTTATTTATAAACAAATAATTACTTCTAGCTACTATTAATATAGCTTGAAACATTTATTCATATAGGCTTATGTAACATTTGACTCACTTTCCTCAAAATCACTATCTTCGCTCTCCTCAGATATTACTACTAATGTCAATTTTCTACTTGGTGGATTTTCTTCGTTATATCAAATGTATGCATTACATATTGCTACTATAATAGCGAACGAGAGTCCCAATGATGGGCGGTCTCTGGTAATAGGATTAGCATTAAAGAATGCCGTTGATGATGATGATAATAATAATAATGTTGATAATAAAGAATTGACTGATTGTATTGAATTGATGGTAAGAGAGTGTAAAGTCTGGTAGAATCTATAAACCTAAATAAATAAGGAGTAATTCAGCTGAATTGGATACTTTCAAACCATGTTAGATTTAGGTGATCAAAATCTATGGATTCAACAGATCACACGAAGTTTTTCGTGGATATAAAACTAGTGTTATGGACTAAACTGATTTCACCCACAACGCTACTATTTATTATTGCGTGCTAACTGGAATATCCTGAAGTGATTTTCCCTGAAAAATACATCTGATTTATAATAATAATCTATAAGAGGTTAAAAATTTATATTAAAAATTAGGACATTTCTTTAAGACTAGCCTTTGAGTATGTAAAATCAAAGTTGATTTGAACTAGAGTTTGGATATGGGATAATCTTTTTTATTCGTTATCCTGGATTGACTTCTTGTTGATGCTTTATATAGTAGGATGTTTCTTTTTTAATAGTTTTAGATAATTTCTGGATCTTCATCCAATTCTTGTTTCAAAATCCAAAATTCGCTATCTCTTTCATACGCGTCTACCTTATCGATTGGAAACCATTGACAACATAAATCATTAAATATGTTATCTGGTATTGTAATAGTAGTTGAAGGGAAGAGAAGACTTTGGAGAATCTTTAAAGCGTAAAATATACATGCACAGATTAAGGCAATATAATATTATTTAAACCAAATGTGCAAGTAACGACCATAAGAAAGGATATTGGTATTATATAAGGCGCTTTACTTTCGAGAAAAGCTGTGGTCCTTCTTGACGAATATTTAACATTGTTATTTTACTTTGATATTTTGTGTAATCCGCAAAACATACGATATACATACCTTTCTGTATAAAATTCCAGTCGATTTCCAACAATAATGATATCTTTTAGTTTTATTCTATCCCAATTTGCTTTGATCAAATTATTATATAATCCGAGTGGACAATGTGGCATGTAGAATAAGGTTTGATTGGTGACAATGCGCTTCGCTTTCTTTGTCATGTAAATTCCATTAGATCCAAAATTATATATAATTCAATACATTAAATGTAAAAGTCTGGAACATACCTCGTTGATTTTGATTGATTCTACATTATAATGGGTCAAGACTTCAATGTCAACTTGTGAAAGAACAGGATCATACGCATATACTTTTCCCGTTATCTTAATGTTTTTACATGTATTATTTATTTAATATTATAAAATTTGGTTGCTGATGGGATTTCAAATTTACCTGAAATATGTTCTTAAAAAGCAACATTAATGCAAATTGATATTGCGATTTATTTGATTTCTCGATACTCCCTATTCCGTAACATACTATATCAACCAGCGTTGGACGATTTGGTGGGAGAAATTGACAATAAATCATTTCTGAAAACAATCGATTTCTTGAGTTTGTTTGTTGCGATGTAACTTTAGAAAATTGTTCTCAGAAAAACATTACCCTTCAATTCTTTAAAAAATACACTTTTATTTAATGCTTTCCTGATAAATTAAATGATAAAATTAATAATCATTCCACTTAATGTGTCAGCGCATTGAAAATTCCTTTTAACAATCCATTACGAACATTTTTTCCTCGATAAAATAAATCACATCCTTTGACGAAATCTGCGTTACATTATTACCATAAACTTTTTTCTTAGAATCTCGGTTCAAATATTGAAAGTTATGATTTTTCTTAATCATCGGCGATACATTAATTGTTGGTTGTCGAGTCTTTTTTTTCTGAACAATTTTCCATTCTTCGCTTTGCATAATCATGTGATATCCAAGATAATTTTTTAATTAATTAAAGTAGACTGGTTTTTTTTTTTTTTTTTTTTACTATAATAAATGAAAATTTGACTCGGATGAGCTACGAAAACCAATTACCGGTAATTAATTTTATATGTCCCTAAATAAATTACTATAGTTCTGTAATTATTACAAAATTTCACTCGCATACGATCTTATCACGTGTATAATGCATTTTCGTACATATTCTTATTTTTATTGGTTACGCTAGTGGAGCCACAACAGTTAAATTGTTCAGTTGGCCAAGTATATAAATATATATATTTCACTTTTCTAGGTGTTCAACTACAACATTCGTCTGTTAATTCTGTTAGTAAAAGTATGCTAGAATTGTCATTTTGTCCAAGCCTTTAAAACCCGACCTTTGGTTTGTTTTACACCCCTATATGTTCCTTAATTTGAGGACGCCATTAATTAACTATTCCTTTTTTATAAATTCACCGTTTTTTTTTTTATTATTAAACCGATCAATAAAGAATCAAGTTACAAAAAGATGGCTGCACCCGTGGGAATATTACGAAATGCCAGCCATGCACAACAGGTAAATTATATAATAAGTTTTAACTTTTCTTAGTTGAAATTGTGAAAATTCTGGGGTTGATCTATATTTTTGGATCTCAAATTAAAGCTATAACATTGATCATTTCTATTTTTACCATAAACAGAGTAAATCTTCAAACTTCATTACTACATTTTCGGATAATTCAGATTCGGAACAAGAAGGTAATAATAGTACTGATTATGGACCAGAATATGAAACTGAACCTGAAGGTGATTTAAATACTGAAGAAGCGCAAGAAACTTTACAACATGAAACTTTAATAAAAGCTGGATACCTTGCTAAAAAACAAGGGAAGAAAGTAGGGAATAAGGTCTATATTTATACATACAAAATTTTGTTAAATGATATCATTACTCAAAGTTATAGCTCTTAATAATATAGATCTATCAATACTTAGAATTGGAAACGGAGATGGTTTGTGTTAAGGTCAACAAAATTGGCTTATTATAAAAGTGATAAGGTAATATCATCGAATGGGTGAATAATTGGTGTTTTATTAAACATTTGTAGGTATTTATTTTATTATATTTATTATTAGGAATATGAACTCTTGCGAATTTTGGATTTGAATGATATTCATGCGGTTGCTGAGGTTAAATGGAAAAATAATAGAACCAATGTGTTTGGGATTGTTACACCAAAACGTGCATATTATGTCCAAGCTGGAAGCAAAAGAGAACTTGATGAATGGGTGGACGCTATAAATAAAGTCAAGAAAGAAGTTCAGGATAATGAAGATGATGAAGGAAGTCAAGCTGATGGTGAAGATATGGTGACAAAAGGAAAAAAATCGACAAATAAACGCCTCACTGCTCAATTTAAGCATAAATCTTCGGCACCAATTTTGGATAAACAGACTCCTAAATCTCCAGTAAAAGAAACATCTGCAATTGATATTCCAAATTCACAGGTTCGAACAACTGAACATAGTGAAATTGGAAACTCATATGCATCAATTTCCTCTTTCACATCTGGGGGTTCCATTCCTAATATATCACCGTCACCATCAAGCCCGGTAAATGCAAATTTTGTACCGGAAAGGAAGGATAGTAGTGATCCTACTGCTAGTTCTGACGAGGAAGAGGGAGGCTTTGCTGATGCAACTGGAGAGGATAACACTAATGATGGTCGTGCAATCCAAAAAGGATATTTATATAAACTTGATAGATATAAGGTGATTGAACATTTCTTGATTATTAAAAAAAATATTTTTATTTTTTTTTATTTTATTTTTTTTGATAATTATATTATTTTTACTTTATTAGACTACTTGGAAAAAAAGATGGTTTGTGTTAGATAACTCGAGGCTAGCATATTACAAAAATTCTAAGGTAAAAAATAAATTATTTTATAGAATTCTACTATAAATTATTTTTTTCTTAACACAATTTTATCATTTTAGGATAATCGTCCTCAATTGAACCTTAATCTTTCGGACATCCTTGATGCTATTGAAACTGATTCTGTCTCTAAATCAAGACAGCATTGTTTTAAGATAATTACTCCTAAACGAACTTATGTGTGTTGTGCACCTAATGAAAAATCTCAAGTTGCATGGCTGGCCGCTCTACATGTAGCGCTAACCAAAACAAAAGAGAAATTAAAAGGAGCAGAATCATAATAGTTTAAATTTATATGTAAATATATGATCTTGCTTAAAATTCTTAAAGGTTGGTGTTGGCTAATTTTTCGATATTTTGTCTAAACGACAAGAGATGCTTTTTTTGTTAATGCATTGTATTTTTGATTGTGCTACTTTATTTTTATTGGATTATATAATAATTATAATAATAATTTTTGTAATGGTTACACCAATTTATTTTCTTTTAATCTTTTTTTTTCTTTAAGAATTTTTTTTTTTTTTATTTGCTTTTACAATTAATTTGTCGTTTCTTTTGCATGAAACAACCTATTCTCATTTGTTCTTAATTATTCTTATTTGTTTTTTTTTAATCGATTTAATAAGTCTACGCCTTTTTTTATTTTTATTTCAAAATCAACACGACATATTTACTATAGGATGTGGAATTTTTGCAATACATAGACATTGTATTTAACATGATTATTTTACTTTTTGGAACAATAATAAATTTTTCAATAAATACTCAAATTTACTAATCGACTGCAAGAGATTGATTATTTTCATCATAACTTATATTCTAATATATTTAATTTAACGATTGATATATTTTAACAATGATCTTGGCAAGGTACCGCTATTTTGAATAAATGCATATTTGGAAATTCGATGAGAGGACCGGGTCACATGAAAAGGATATGGGTGACCTGACCAGGCCAGATTTTAAAACTAAAACCAATACTAATTTATTATAATTCCTAATTCCTCGCCCTAACCCTAATAGGATGTTCTATAGAATAGGTGGGCAAACTCCGCTAAACTCCGCTGAATATATTAAAAAATTAATTATTACTAATCATTAGCAAAGCTTATTTCTTATATTGCCCACGTATTATATAGAACATCTCAATAACAATACATTATGAATTTAGTAAAGTAGTACGATACAAGGAACAGATTAGATGAACATGCACAAACACAGTTCGTATAAAAAAAAAAAAAAATGATTTAGATCGTACACAAGCATTATAAGTAATTTCATGGTGCGAAATACGAATATGAAGAGCGTCCTCAAACAGTTCCCTAAATGTGATTTGAAAATGATCGAGATGTTGCTTATTAATTGAAGCGGTTATTACGATCAAATCGTAACGATGTGCTGAAAATTCATTGCGCGAATTGCGGATTTTAAATTTTAGCCAATCGGAGTAAACTCTATGGAGAAAAAAAAGTGGTCTACACTTTAGTCATCGAAATGAAATTTCTCTTGATTAGTTTATTCAAATTCCGACTAAATAAAATTTTATATCAATCCATTGAACTTTTTTTTTCATTGCGATGAAGAACTCACTTGATCGGCTAAATTACTTTCCACTAATTAAAAACTGGTTTCTGATCTATTGATTTAAGAACACCCTTAACGTTAACCTAAAATTAAAACTTCAGTTTATGATAGATTCATTATAAAAACATTTGACAAGAATTATTATTATTATTATTATTTGTTTTTGTTTTTTTAATTAAAAAAAAAAAAAAATTTAAATGACTTATATATTTTGGAAAAAGAAAAATAACAAAAAAAATGTATTATACAAGTGAACAAAAAGTTAAGACAAAAAAAAAACTTTTTTTTTTTTTTTTTGTATTTTATAACTTTTAAAGAAATATAAAACGTTAATGATTATATTTAAAGAATTCAAGTTCATAAAATCGTAATAGTTACTTTTGGAATATTTTTAAGTGATAAGGTTACCTAACATCTAATAAATTTCAAAAAAAAAAAAAAAAAATCTAATATAACGAAAAAACACAGTAAAAAAAGCTATCGACTATAAAACAAACGATAACTAATCAAATTTATAAAATTTATCATATATAAAAATATAACGAGGTTTATTAAATTCACTAGAATATATATCGAAGAATTTATATTTTAAATTTGTTTTAAAAGTGGTTTGAACAGGTATCACTGATGCGACACATACATTTATTCTTTACATATAATAAATCGAAATCGACTTAGGCGATTTTTTTTTTTTTGTTTTTTTTTTTTGTTTTAGTTATCGACTAGGATCACTAGATGATACCACACCTCCCGCAGACAATATCTGTTGTTGTGATGTCATAGGTTGATTGTCAGCACCAGCAGAAACAAAATATATGTTTTGCATTGGTGGAGCAGCAATTACATGAGTTTGTGGAGGAGGATGACCCTGAATCTGCATACTATTCATTCCATTCAATGAATTAGGCATTACACCATATCCTGTACCCATTTGCATTGGACCAACACGCTGATGACCAAAACCCATTGCTGGACCAAATCCACCATGATGGTGATATCGTTTTCCTTGTCTCATTTCCATTTCAACACGCATTTCCAATAGACCAGCACGTTCTTTTAAATTTCGATTTCTTCTTTCTAAATACTTGATATAATCCACAGCTTTAAATAATATTGTGCTCTTTGAATTATTAACATTCTTGAGCGTAGGTATAATGTCTGTTAATTCTTTAAAACCTGCACGAATTGTATTTCTTCGTTTTTGTTCTGAAGCGATATGATTCGCTCTTTTTTCCTCTTCAGTAAGAAGTTCTTTATAAGGTTTCCTACTTGATTTTTGAGGAGTTGGTTTTGATTCGGATTTTATTTCTACGTAATCATCAGTATTATTTCCATTATCATTTGATTCTGATTCAGCAAGATTACTTAAAGAAATTTCATCTTCATTTTTTGATAATTCTCTATTAGGGGTTCTTGGTGATGGAGAGCCATTATTGCTACTACTAGGAGTATTACCAGGACTTTCATCATTATCATTTTCATTATCATTAGAGTTATTATTAGTGTTAATGGAAAGATTAGACAATTGCATAGATGGAGAAAGTGGTTTAGGACTTGAAGTAGAACTATTAGATTGAGTCATAGCAAGTTTTGTATTTATCGGACTTAATCGAGGGTTAGACGGCCGGCGCCTGTTATTCTTATTATCATCATCTTCCGGTTTACGTTTTTTAGATGATGTCACAGGCTTATCTTTATCATCAGAAATTGGAGACATTAATTGTGATGATGATTGTCTAATATCATGAGGAGAATGTTTAGGTGATGAAATAGTAATATTTGAAGTTCGAGGAGATAGAGTTGTCGAATTTGATGAATCAATTTGATGACGACCCAAAATATCTTGAGGATGATTTTGAGGATAATCATCATAAGTAGGATTCATAGAATTACTTATACCATCCGAAGAAGAAGAAGAAGGATATGTAGGCATATTTATTGGAAGTGTTGGGTTAAAAATATAAGTTGGATTTCCTTCAATATTATCAAGGAAACTTCTAAATATAAAATCCTCATCATTTGAATCCAAAAGGGGATGCCGACCAAAATTATCAAAATTAGAAGGAAAAAGTGGAGCCATTTCCGCGGGAACCCAATTGTATCCAGTGAATTCTATATCAAAATTTTAAAATTAACACGTGTTATTAAATAACATCTTTGTGAAGACAAAACATTCATGTATATCTTTTAATGAAAATGAGTATACAGACCATCATAAGGAGGAGGTTCTGAGACAGGCACAGAACCTTGCATTCCAAATTGATCTGAGGGGTACCCAGTATCAGTCATAGGTGTATAGGTCTGTAACTGAGATAATTCTGGTTGTACGAAATTTGGCGAAAGCTGTGACGACGGTTCTTTACTCATAGACATGTCAGTTGGATAATACTGTGGCATTGTATCCATAATTATTATTCACAAACGTGAGACAAGGGCAACAGAACTTTAAAGAGGAAAGGTTTATCATAAACAAATTATACACAAAAGATACTTTAAAAATGCACAAAAAATTTTATTGTGTGACGGCGAACTTTAAAGTTGAAAGAAGGAAACGTTAAACAATTGAATTAAAAGTAACGATAGTAGTAGTATTTCGTCGAGAAAATATACACACGGTAATTAGAATCTACTACACTATAAACTAAAGCTGGAACACAACACTTGAACGGAGTACCAACTTGCGGGGTGATTTTGGATTAATATGATTAATATGTGATAAGCAGTTTATGAAATTTTACAATAACTGATCATTTTGAATCAATGAGATATAAGTAGAATGTGTAACAACAAGCAGCTGATATGTGATACTTTACCTGATTAAGTTTTTGAATTGATGACTGTAACTTATTTATTTTTGATGCCCCATTTATTTTATTTTAATTTTTTTATATAAGAAAAAAAAAAAAAATATTAATGCACATAAAAATCCAAAAACCGTTAAGGTCGGAATATCGATCGGAGTGATGATTAAGTAATGATTGCAAAATATATAATGTCATTCTAAAAATATAATCGTAAATCAGGATATTGGGGAAAGCTGTTCTTTTTCATATGATTGTAACATCAAATTTGGTAAATGAGACTGCACTACAGATCCCCGCATTTCTTTTCCTTGTTAGTATTGCAGTCTCTTTTAAAATAAGCCACCTTGATCTTTCCATTTTCCGTTTGATTATTGACCTGTTGCGTTTCTATATAATCCATTAATGGCTGAACTTGTTATCATATGTTAAAATAAACCCATATGCAAGGGACTTAAATCAAGAATCTACCCTTGTAATTTGTATTTCAATACTTGTAAAATGTGATTTATTATTATTATTTATTATTATCGTTATTTTTTTTTTTTTTTAGTTTAATTTTTCTCCAGCTTGAAATCAAGTTTTTATTGCGGAAGCTATTCAAATAAGGTGCTTTTAATTAAATTACATCATACAAATATTAAACATTTACATCGTATGCATGAAACATAATCTGAAAATTCATACGTACATCTTGTTTAACAAACTCAAGCTTTCATGTGATAATAAAATTAAAACCAGTTACAATGTTAATTTTTCAAATTAAGTTTTTCTAGAATCATATACACTTTAAAAAATAAATATAGTACGTAGTATATTTATTTATTCAAATCTAGATACAAAGCATTTGAATCAAATGTATGCAAACAATATCTGGTTTTATACAATCTAATTGAAAATTCTTTGCCTTTTTATGACTGAAAATTATATAATAAATTTTTCATACGGAAGCAAAAATAAATTTTTACGTATACACACCTTTAAAATTCATAATTAGTCCGAGAGAACAATTTTTAATAGCACGTGATTAAGTATAAGTGTTACATTATAATTTTGCCATTTTCATTCCAAGATCTTTGTTCCTCAGTAATGTCCCGCCGTCCACAGGCATAATAATACCAGAAACCCAACTACCTGCATGTGAAGCTAAGAAAAGTGCCGATCCTGCTATATCAGATTCAACACCCAAACGACCTGCAATCATTGATATTATAAAGCAAAAAAAAATACTAAAAAAAAAAACAAGAAGCCTTTTTACTTACCTTGTGGAACTTCTGAAATACAAGAAGAAATGTCCTTGTTAGATGTCATTTCCGTGAAAATTACCCCAGGAGCAATAACGTTAACATTAACACCACGTGGTCTATCGGGATATGAATTAGTAATATTTTCATTTGTTATAATCTTTAATTAAATTACTAACATACGTAAAATGAACTGCTAAATTCTTTGCAATATTATGAACTGCAGCTTTGGAGGAATTATAAACTATTGAAGTAATTCTTTTAACCTCAACTATTCCTCTGAGATCACCTTCACCTATACCTAATTTAGAGTTATTAAATGAAATATGAAATGTCTGATACATAAATGAAAAATTTTACCCGAAATGCTTCCAACAATAATCACTCTTGACGGATCATCTGGTTTATGACTGGCCTTTTCTAGCAAAGGCAAACATCTAATATACTATAAGATTTAATAATAACGCGCTGTTCATCCAGAAATTATTGGAAACTCACGCGATTGTCAAATAAAATACGCTTTTAACATTCAAATTGTAAATATTGTCCCACTCTTTTTCAGGAAAATCGAATAATGTTGCATCAAAAACAGTTCCCGCGTTATTTACTAAAATGTCAAGTTTCCCCTTTTCTCGAGCTCCAATCTCGGTTGCAAGTTTCTCGCAAGCTTCTTTAGAGTTGAGATTTGCTTCAATTGCGTAACATTCTCCTGGGCCCAATGCATTTAACTCGGCCGCAGCTTCAGAAAAAAATAAAATAAAAAATAGATCATAAAGCGGATAATTTACATACATAAAACCCTAATAAAACTACCTATATCAAGAATCTTTTTTTTTCTAGAAGCAATATAAACGCGAGCTCCATTCCGTACGAACGCCTTGGTAATCATTTTACCG